ATCTTTTTTTTATCATCTTCCTCTTCTTCTTCCTCTTCTCCTCCTCTTCTTCCTGTTCTTCTCCTCTTCTCTCTTCTTCCTCTTCTTCTTCCTCTTCTTCCTCTTCTCCTCTTCTTCCTCTTCCTCTTCCTCCTCCTCCTCCTCCTCCTCCTACTTTTTTATCTATTGAATGAATTTTATTTGAAAAGTTTTGTTTATATATAATTCATTCACTCCCAGTGTCATTAATTAAAAAGAAAACTTGTAATAACCCTACCATCAACATTATGAAACAATCACAAAACCAATGATAATACGAATAGTTATGAATAATAACTTACATGTAATAATTCTAACAATAGAACCATCATAAAAGAAACCAAAGCACTGAGGATAATACAAATAATTATCTGTAACAACATATATATAATGACTCAAACAACATAACAATCACAACAATTAAAATCATCACAATACCGATATTACGATTACCTTTATACAACAACCACAACAACCAAAAATATAACCCTTTAACAACATTAAGGGTTGATACAAATGATACATAATAACTAAAGACAAGTTTAGAATAGAATCCTGGGTAATGAAAACAAAATATATATAATAAAAAAAACAATAGAATAGGTTACCTAATATACAACCCCAACAACCAAAATAAACCCCTTTAACAGCATTAAAGGTTCATACAAATGATACAAAATGACTAAAAATGGGTTTAGATTAGAAGCTTGGGTAAGGAAAGCATATATGTAATAACAAACAATAGAATCATCACAACAGTTAAAACCATCACAACACCGATAATACGATTACCTTTATACAACATCCCCAGCAACCAAAGACAAACCCCCTTAACAACATTACGGGTTGATACAAATGATACACAATTATTAAAAAGGGGGTTTAGACGAGAGGGCCTAGGTAATGAAAACAACATATATATATATATATATATATATTATATATATATATATATATATATATATATATATATATACATATATATATATATATATATATATATATAATAACACACAATAGAATCAGCACAGCAGTTAAAACCATCACAACACCGATAATACAATTACCTACATATAACAACCCCAACAACATATATATAACAACAAACAATAGAACAGATTACCTATAACATACAACCCCAACAACCAAAGACAAACCCCCTTAACAACATTACGGGTTGATACAAATGATACACAATGATTAAAAAAGGGGTTTAGACGAGAAGGCCTGGGTAATGAAAACAACATCTTTATAATAACAAACAATAGAACAGATTACCTATAACAACATCCCCAACAACCAAAGACAAACCCCCTATAACAACATTACGGGTTGATACAAATGATACATAATGACAAGAATCCTGGGTAATGAAAACAATATATATATATTATATATATATATATATATATATATATATATATATATATATATATATATTAACACACAATAGAATCATCACAACACCGATAATACGATTACCTTTATACAACATCCACAACAACCAAAGACAAACCCCCTTAACAACATTAAGGGTTGATACAACTGATACACAATGCCTAAAAAAAGGGGGTTTGGACGAGAAGCTTGGATAATGAAAACAACATATATATAATAACACACAATAGAATCATCACAACAGTTAAAACCATCACAACACCGATAATACAATTACCTACATACAACAACCCCAACAACATATATATAGCAACAAACAATAGAACAGATTACCTATATACAACCACAACAACCGAAGACAAACCCCCTTAACAACACTAAGGGTTGATACAAATGATACACAATGCCTAAAAAGGGGTTTAGACGAGAAGCTTGGATAATGAAAACAACATATATATAATAACAAACAATAGAATCATCACAACAGTTAAAACCATCACAACACCGATAATTCGATTACCTTTATACAACATCCCCAGCAACCAAAGACAAACCCCCTTAACAACATTACGGGTTGATACAAATGATACACAATGCCTAAAAAAGGGGTTTAGACGAGAAGGCTGGGTAATGAAAACAACATATTTATATTAACAAACAATAGAATAGATTACCTAATATACAACCCCAACAACCAAAGACAAACCCCTTTAACAACATTACGGGTTGATACAAATGATACACAATGCCTAAAAAAGGGGTTTAGACTAGAATCCTGGGTAATGAAAACAACATATATATAATAAAAAAAACAATAGAATAGATTACCTAATATACAACCCCAACAACCAAAATAAACCCCTTTAACAGCATTAAAGGTTCATACAAATGATACAAAATGACTAAAAATGGGTTTAGATTAGAAGCTTGGATAATGAAAACAACATATATGTAATAACAAACAATAGAATCATCACAACAGTTAAAACCATCACAACACCGATAATACGATAACCATTATACAACAACCCCAACAACATATATATAACAACAAACAATAGAGCAGATTCCCTATATACAACCA